GGGGGGGGGGGGGGGGGGGGGGGGGGGGGGGGGGGGGGGGGGGGGGGGGGGGGGGGGGGGGGCGTGCTCAAGATCGGCAGGCGACGGCCTGTTGGTGTGCAAATATAGCGTGTGACGTGCGAGAACCATTGATTTGCGCGCGTGTTGGCTCCCGGACGAGAAGCAACAGGCGTTCAAGAACATTGTCATGTGTGGCCTTCCTCCTGCGTGAACCTGGCTGATGCGTCCAGCAACATTCCTACAGGTGCACAGACTGCTGACGTCCAAAACATAGGGACAGCACACACAAGACACACAAACCTGTCTTCCAACCTCCTCCGTAGGCCTCCTGTCGAGGGTGCCCTCTGACTAGGAGGCGTATTGGCTCTTTGTATCCCGCTGGAAGGCTGGCATATAGTTGGTCGGTCGGTTAGCGCGGTCGTGCTAATTCAAGAAACACAAGCACACACCAAGCGTATGCGGGTTGATTTTTAGTTGGTGTGCGATCTTCCCAAAGCGGTGATGCGGCATGTTCCCTGCCTTTTCGTGATGTCTGCATTGCAGCTGGCGTTACCATTGTGATTCCAATTCTGCCGTTGGTTGTGCCCGCGCGCCTACATGATCACAGCTCGGTGAAGATCAGGCGGCGACTTCCCTTCCCAACTCAACGTCGCCGGGGCGGCTGGCTAGTCCTATCGCCGAGGATAGTGTCGCAGCTTTTGAAAGCGATAAACAAACCCCGGAGGCACGGGACGACACAGATGCGGAGGAGGCTGGCGACAACGATGTTGGCACGGATGGACATAAGAATAGCCCTTCGGTCCTGCCAACCGGGCAGGGGCAGGTTCCCGCAAGTGGAGCGGTACCATTAAGCGATGTTTGTGTCGACACCGGCACCGGCTTCGGGGCTGGTCCGCCCCCGATGGGCAATGTCAGCCCGTCCTCAGAGTACAGACGCGGGAGCATGTCCCCCGGTATGCCTACGGAAGGAAGGTGCGCCGTCGTATGATAGACACGGGATCGTTTAGGGATGTCAGAATTGGTTCATTGGCGGGGCTCAGGTCACACACCTGGCCTGCCTTGTAGCACATCGCGCTTTGAGCACGTGTTGAATGCCAGGGACGTTGTATCCTGGGCGTCCCGTTACAAAACATCACCAGCCTTGCCGTCTGGAGCTGCGTGAGCCACCTTCCTTGAACGAATTTTGATTTTTTTTTTTCCCTCCATCCACGCCTTGCCATCGCAGACTACGGACACAATCGTGGACTGCTGCCGCCGCCGCTCCCTCACCGCCGGTTCTCCGAGGCCCGTTCTCGAGGGCACGTTCACGGTCCCGCTCGCCGCGTCACAGGGTGAGCATGACTCTCGGCCCGACTGGGGGCTTGCATTTGGCCCGAAAGCCTGAACACAACAGGTTCAGCAGCGGGGGAACAAGCATGGGGGCTGACCGAAACATAGGGCTGTCTGAGAACCCGAGCATTGCAAGCACGGCGGAGGAGGGCGTGAATGTGACAGAGGGGGAAGACGACGGTCCGGTTGAGAGAGGGGATGAGGATGAGGAGGACAAGGCCGTCGGACCGTTCACAGAGACCTCCTTGGAGATGGCGCGGTTACGCCTGCCGCACATGGAGCTGGGGTTTGAAGAAGACGGCTTCTTCGGGATTGACGTGCGATCCCTGATTATCGGGAGGGAAATCGCACGAGGAGCTTATGGCGTGGTTCACGAAGGAAAGCTATATCCGTCGCCGAGGGATGCAAGTGTTGAGGATGGAGAACAAGCAGGTACCAGTATTCTACGATCAAGATGCTTCTAGCCGAATGTAGCCATATGTATACCACTAAGTATTACTGTGGCCGCCGCCTGTTGTGTGATGGAACGGAATGCCTCGCAACAGGCGTTCTATCTAGCCAGGCTGGTGACTAGATTGGGCCTTGCTCGCCTGTGCTGCCTGTCGCGGGGTTGAATTGCAGTGGGAGCTACGTTTGATCAGCGAGTCGATGCGGGGTCCGGTAACCAGAGCCATACCCACATCCGATGTACTTCCGTGCAAATGCTCTCTGTGGACCCACCGCTATTGCTAGGCGGGAAATCGCGTAGCTTGACTCCTGCTGGTGCATAGCTGGATGCGGTTGATCCTTGCTACAACTTTCTACAACTTTCCCCACATGTTGTGGTGTGCCCACTGTACCCATCCCATATCCCAAGCTCAACGTTCAATGTAGACGGAGTCGTCGCAACTTCCACTGCTCGTGTATCGTAGCCGCCTCGTGACGCATGGCGCATGAAGGACGTTTGCTGGAGTTCCACGCGCCGCCTTGCTTTGTCCTTTGTACGCTTGCCATCCGAAGCAGCGGCTGCACCCAGGGAAGCAGAAGGTGGCGCGGCTGCCAACATAAAGGGAGAGGTGGAGAGGGTTACACTTGTAACGGAGGCGACGGAGGAGGACATTTTCCATGACGCTGCTCAAGAGAGCGTGGAACACGCCAAAGGAGGAGGGGATGCTGCACAGGAAGAGGAGGAGGAGGCGAGGAGCGTGGCAGTAAAGATTCAACAAGTACCCGAGGACGAGGTATGTTGGTAAACGCTGGGCGGTACAGATACAGGGTGTTTGTTTGGCAGAGCTGCCCAATATCTTCGAACAACATCAAGTTTCGGGCGGGTATTTTGGGGGATTCTAGCGTCACAGGTTAGGGATTGTCTCCTGGTCACTCGGCGTAGGATTTTCTTGTAGCGGTTTCTGGCCAGATTTGCGCGGCAGCAAAGACGGTAGATCGGACCTCCGCCCGTCAGCCCGTCAGCCCGTCAGCCCGTCAGCCCGTCAGCCCGTCAGCCCGTCAGCCCGTCAGCCAGTCAGCCAGTCAGCCAGTCAGCCAGTCGGCCAGTCAGCCAGTCAGCCAGTCGGCCAGTCAGCCAGTCAGCCAGTCGGCCAGTCAGCATTGAGCTGCTTGTTGGGAGAGACCCCTCGAGCTCCAGGTTCCCGATAACGCCGAGCTAAATATCAAACCATGTATTTATCCAGCACAGGATTGTCAGTGTGTTGGGGCGTTTCTAGCTGGATGATGAGTCTTTTCTTTCGTGCGGCCGTAAGCGCAAGCAGCCGGTAAGCCGATCACAAGCTAACAAGAATAGCTCCCACTCGTACAAGACAATTATTTATCAGTCTTATTTTAATCATGCTATCTACCGTTCGTGTTTCATGGTGGTGGCTGTGGTTGGTGCGAAACCGCCATAAACGCAGGAAGAGCAAGCCAACCTGCTGGGGGAGCTTGCGATGCTAAGAAATCACAAGCACTCGCACCTCGTTGAGTTCATCGGAACGGCTATGGCCGTGGAGAGAGGCTCTGACACGGTGAGAGACCAATCAAGGACAATCACGATTTCCTGTGCTGGCCTGTAGCGGACGGGGTATGCATGATCGCCAAGGTTGACCTCAAGCAGAAGTGTACATGATGGCACAACGGAAACCGTGAGGAGCAAGGGCTGGTTTTGGGTCGATTGAAGAGGTTGTAGATCCTTTGTCAATAAGCTCCCGACGCGATGTTTAGCTTCTACCTGGGCGCCAAACTAGATTTGTTTCCTACTCGAGTACTCGATGAACGATCGCTTCTCTTGAGCGGATTGGTTGTCGTTGGCCGGCTGGATGCCACAATTTTTTTTTCACGAGTTTGTGTGCTCCTTTTTGTGCAGGTGATGGTGGTGATGGAATTGTGCACCAACGGGGCGTTGCGAGAGGCGTTGAAACTTAACATCGACTGGCCACTCAAGGTACTTGCTCGCTGAGAAATTAGTATTGTATTCATGTGTCGTGGGTGACCTGGTTCTACGGTAAGCTGAAGGGCTAGTGGTTTCGTCCCTGAGGCATGTTTGCTCGACTTGGGTGTACTCGACGTCACCCTCTGATGTGAGCAGTCTGTTTGTGGCTTGTCTTTTCGTCGTTTCTCTCGTCACCCGTTCCTATTGTGCATCATAGGCCTCATGTGCCCTCTAATTGGTTGTTTTGGTGAAGGACCTCGGGCATAAGGAATATGGTAAATGAGGTTTCCCCTCGTGTCTTCTGATACGCAACCAGGGCGCCACATAGCTTAATGCTTCTATGCCTGTACCGCTGCTCGTTTTCCTGTTGCGAAGGTACGAATCGCGTCAGACATGACGGATGGGCTGCAATACCTGCACCAACACGGTATCATCCACCGAGATATCAAAACCCCCAACGTTTTGATCGACGGCTGCTGGAGAGCGAAGCTGTGCGACTACAACTTCGCCATCGACGAGAACAGCTCCATCAAGCAGGTGCGACGACTGTTTTACCCGAACCCGTCTAGACGAAGCAACACGCACGTATGAAGTTCTGAGTGCTGCGCTGCAGGCACTGAGCGCAGTGAGCATCAGCTTGTGGAGCCTTAAGTTCCCCTCCCCTCCCCACGTCCACGACCGAGAGCTCCCTTCCCACCAGTCCTTCTCTGTCATTTGTCGAACGATTCGACGTTGGGGTACTATTTCTGCGTCGAGCGATATCCCAACTACGTTTAGGTTTGCTGTACGATACATTGCTTTCACATTCTCATCGCTGGCTGTGTCCGCGTTTGTGGCAGGACTTTTGCGCGGGAACGGCGGAGTTCATGTCTCCCGAGGTGTTGCTCTCGGAGGAGTACGGGCTACCGAGTGACGTCTTCAGCCTGGGCATGATATTTGTAGAGATGCTTACGGGTCAGGAACCAAGTCCTTCCTTCCCGGAGAGGCCGCCACAGGTACGTCTGGGCGTCCCAGAGACGACCGACCCTTTGCGAGACAATATTTGTTGGTGACTTGATAAGCGGAGGCACCTCCCTATTTTGTCTACCCGAACGTACGAAGAGCCCTTGGACGTGTTTTCAGTACCAGTTATACACTCGTCGTGTTGATGCACCCCGAGGTGAAAAGCTCCAGTTTCAGCACTGTCCCTTCGAGTCGAGTGGAAGCTACTCCCTCGCTTTTGGATTTGATGCGTTTGCCGGCGTGTGAGATGTTTTCTACACTACATCAAACTTGTGTTGGGTGCCGATCGCACTTCACTTGTTTTGCCACTGCTTGCCCCAACTCTCTCCCGGCGCTGACGTTGGCGCGCCATGTCTCGATACGCCCCTGTTGTTGGCAGACGTTTTTCGTCGTGAGCGAGGAGGAGATAGAGGGGCAGCTGCTGCCAGGGTATCCTTCGTCGTTCTCGCTTTTGCAGTCGCAATGCCTCTTCGCCGAACCAGCCGAGAGGTGAGCGAAGATGTTTGGAACAGCAGCAGTGTTAGTAGAGGGGTGGTGGTGTTGTTACCGACGACACCCGTGAGGCCGTTTGTTTGAACTGTAGATTGCCGGCGTGGCATACACACGCCACGACGTTAAGGCTGTTGAAGGTCCTGGTTGTCGCCGTGGCATCAAGTCAAGTCCCCGTCCGGACCCGTTCCTTCCCCACGAGTGTCGTGCGCCACTTGACCCCTGGGCACCAAACGAGAGACTTGTTTCAGGTTTGGATAGGGTCGATTGATGAAGATAAAGCTACCGTACCTTCTCACCCACATTTGGTGCGATATCCTGGTGTGTGAGTGCGCTGTACTGCTGTCCTGGTGTTTGGTTTGTACCTGCAGACCCACGGCGGAAGAAGCCTTTAACTGGCTGCAGGATCTCGTCAACGAGACAGGCGAAGATAACGTGAGTTCATCCACCCTGTCTCGTACCTGCTTGTGCTCCCACAGCATATTCGGAGAGTATCTGTTGGAATGCGCTATGGATCCTAGGGTGTGATTTTGCTACTTGAGGTTATCTGACCGTTTCAGCTCGATTTTGAGTCGTCCGAATGTTGCTCGTTGCAGATCGTCTTGCCGCAGAGTGGCCCTCCGCTTCCCGTGCTGACAGAGGGAGCGGCCATCGCTAGGGAAGGGAACGTCATCAACGCTAGTCCGAAGGTGAGAAAATGCAGACGTGGAGGTGCTCCTGGCTCTTGTTGAGGATGGTGATGGCGATAAAATGGTGGTTATTGGCACCTTTGCATTTTGGCTCTCGGAGAAGTTGTGGGTCTGCGCTTTTGTTCACGTTTTGTTTAGGGGAAGGGTCGTCGTCGCTATCGACCGGAGAACAGGCTATGTCTTTCATCCATCCCACCCCAGTGCCAACTTGTCCTCCCTTGGAACGCTTTTGAGACTCTTAAGTTTTCTGTTTGTGGGAGTCTAGGAGACTCGTCTCGCAGCGTCGAGTTGGGATGCCAAGTGAAAGAGGTAACAAGGACTTGTGCCGGGCGGACAGTGCGGCGGATTAAACTGTTTCGCACAAAAAACATACCACCCCAAAAGCTGTGGTCTGTGAACGCCAAACACATGGAGTTTGTTGTAGCATAGTCGATGACAGAACGCCATGTTGAAATGTCTTCCTCCATTCGCGCCATGTCCTATCGGGGACGTCACAGGGCAATGAACAACACTGGTTGGACACGGAAATGATGGAGCAGCAAATAGACGCCATGGTGGAAAATGCGGTATGTTCACGCATGGTCAATAGGAGGGATGCCGTAACAGCAGCAAAATAGGACTACTGCTATTGTTGTGCACTGCGGTATCATGTGTGGCTTTCAATCCAGATGAAAAAAGTAGTATTCGGATCACGGTTTAGTCCTCAGCTATGAAAAAATGTTCATCAGCGCAGTGTCTGTACTTTTGTGCACACAAGCAGGAACTCCTTCGGCCATACCAGTACCGGTCTGAGAAGGGTCTTGCGAGCTGTATGTTGCTTGGAAGGAGTCAGCTGACAGACGTGTTTCCCTAGACGGGCTCGTAGCAAGCGTTGCCCACAAGATACTGTAGCGTCGAGGCTGTCAGGCCAGAAATGAGGCCAGTTGGCGCACGTACTTGAGCATACCTTCCCCAAGCCAGCGGGTAGACGGTCATGTTTACTGCTTAATCGTTCCGGCAAAAGTTCTTCAATTGCTTGTTTTGAACGTGCGGAGATCTCGAGACAATGTATACCGCGCGTTATTGTTTGCGGGACGCAGGTGGAGCGTGCCTTGGCAGAGCGAAGAGGCCAGAATGTTGGTCTGGTCGGCGGGGTGACGGGAGAGGACGGAAGTGCGGCAAAATTCGAGCAGATAAAGGAAGAGATGGATGTGAGCACGTGCAGGATTTTTGTTTTGTAGTTGTGAAACGTGTTGCATGCCCTGCGACGGAGTGCGATTGTTTCGAGCAACACTTGCTCTGTTAGTCCGGAATCGCCATCCTGTAGTGTAATTGAAGTGCTTGCACGGAGGGTGACCTTTGACATGCAATTGACATGACCCTCGCCTCACGACGCCAACCTCGGTCGTAAAGATTGATGTTTGTAATGTACGCTTCACGATTCTGCCGAAGCCGGGCATTGAAAGGTACGAATCGTCACGGGCTGGTTTGCTGATGTGCTTGTTTCGCTGCGACGCAGAAGCGTTCACTAGTCATCACCCCAACCGATTTTGGTCTGCGATAATTGTTGATTTTACTCCAGTTTTGCACGGTCTGATCTGCGGTCGGCCTCACCTTGGCGAATGTTTTTTTTAACCTGCAGGCACTCCGAGCTGCGTGCGACGAGCGAGATAGTCGCATCTCAGAATTAGAAGTGCAGGCCCTTCGAAACACGTCGACCCTCAAGATGCTGTCGTCAGCTTTGGAGGTAAGCATGCCCCGATCGACCAATCCGACGCCGGTTGTCTCCTGATAAGTTGGAGCGAACTCACTCTACGCTGTGGTAATTCGTTTGACCCTTTTTTTGTGGGGAGTCTCGCCATTTTTGCCATGTGCACGCACGCACTCTGCAGACCCGACTCGTGCTTCTACTGCTATACGTGGCATTTGATGAAAAATGTTTTTTCCGCACTGCAGGTGGCGTACAAACAGCTGATGGCTGTATCACAGCCCGACTGGAGCTCCGGGGCAACCGGACCTCAGGCGGATGAAGCAGCATCCTCCGAACGAGGAAACTTCTCCCGACAAGAGCACGATGATGTGGGTTTTTCGCCTTGGTTCTCTCGGCGATGTACTTGCTCTGTCTGTCACAACGTGTCCATCTAGAATTTGTCTTGCAAGGCCGCTAGCTCGTACAATGTAACGCAAACGTCCATCGTCAAAATGCGGGGTTGACTTCGCTTGCCCTGCTCTGTGGTGATTGACCATGCACCACGCAACAAAGCGCCAACCCCAACGCGACACCTCAACAGCACTTGTATACTGTCCTCCGCCTTCATGACGCACCGCCATTTTTTTTTCATTCTCATATCAAACACCTGTTGACCCGGTCTTGAACTTTTGCAGTTCGACGCCGTGGAAGCGAGGCTTTCGCAGCTTGGCCCCAACCTCTAGGTCTGGACGGACTTTTACGCCAGGCGGGGAACGCAAGGCTTGCCGGGCATGGAGAGGGGAAGGCAAACCTGCGCGTTCTGCTGTCTTGTGTTCCACCGCAGTCAGTCGTGAAATGCGTCAAGCGGACCCGCTCGCCTTGATGGTGGTGTGCGTTTCCCCAGCCGTGTCCATGTTGGTATTCTGCGGTACTGCGGTGCTGTTGTTTTCACTCCTCCTATCGCGGGCACAACGCAGGGCGATGCCTGTTGGTCTGGTTCGTGCGGCCGACGGGTGTGGTCGAAATCCTGCTTGAACAACGCTTTTTGTATTCGCGAGACTTGAGTTTTTTTGCGTGAGCGATGTGGACGTTGTCCGGACGGGGCTGCCCGTTGCCCAACGTGCTTCGTCTTGTCACTCACCCCTGTTGGTCGTTTTAGCAGCACTCTCAACAATTACCATGCAGGTCGCGCCGTTTGGTTGTACCGACGAGGCGCGGCGCTGCTTCCGGTGACGTTTGTTTTTATATTGTGTGCTGGGCTCTAGCAACGTGTGTAGCTGTAGTTACGTAGTTTATATAGAACCATGGCGGCGTTTTGGGTTGTTCGGCAGTTTGAGTCGACGGCGAAGATTCTCGGGCCGCGTCCTGCCAACATTAGAGTATTTGGTCATCACACATGGCAACCACAAGCATCCGGCTATGATTGGTGCAGCGTAGCAAGGCGCGGTTGCCTTTCGTTGGCAAGTCTTGTCCTCAAACAAGCCGATTGACAAACAAAGCAGAGGGCCCTCAACACACATGGGTGCCGTGACGACGGTTGGAGAGCAGCTGTCGTCGCTATTTTCCATGCCTCACACAGTCGAGAAGGAAACCCTTTTGCAACCAAAAGCTGCACACTACTTACACGGCACCAGAGACTCGCGAACCACACCGGGTTTGACACAAGTCCTTGAGCCACAGCCATGTGTTGGCTGGCCGTTCATCGCTGAAACGTTGCCCACTAAATAGAAACCTTGAGTGCCACCAATATGTTCAACTTAGCGAACACCCCGGTTCGGATCATGCCTCCTCGCTAGATTTAGGGCATTTCTCTTGTACCCCGCCGACTCTTTGCCTTCCTCTGTGGCGACCGAATCTGTGCCTGCCTCCACCCCCTCCCCCTGCGCCAATTTAGTCAGATTCCGAAGCTCTGTACGGATGTTGACGTTCTGAGGCTCGTGCTTCGCTGCGCGCGTTAAGCACCGCTGTCGTGGACGCATAATGCAAGGGTCGCAGAGGGATGGGGGGGTGCCAAGGGTCACATCATCAGTCAAATCTGACGCCCAGCTTCAGCCCGGTGAATGGGTTGAAAACGCGAGATGCTGACCGAAACTACTTACATCATATACATAGCATAGGGTGGTGAACATTCTTGCGCGTATTCTGAACCGATCGTCATTATGTTTCATGGCTGGAACCACATGAGCGGTACACGGTCGCCTGCGTTGTCCGGGTCGGTGCCTTGTGGCGCTAAACTCGTCGGTAGACATCGTCTTTGTTATACGCGAAGAGCTCCGACGCTAACGTACGTACACATAGAATCGACAATGTGTAAGGTGTGGGCCAGCACACCGGGGAACGGGAAACACCGGCTCGAAGTCATACAGCACGTTGCATCGTCGACTGACTGCGCGAAATCACGACACGGTGACCCCAGTGCGATATCCGATACCTTGTTAGGGCACACCCTACAGCAGTACCTTTGTGCACTCCAAAAAATCCTTTGGCGTCTTAGGACAGCCCATACAACAGTGCCAGCCCACAAAATACGCATACGATGCCAAAAGATTGACGCGGAACGCTCAAAAGTCACCACAGGCATACATCTTGTGTGTTCGGTACCTTGGCCGCTTCGATGTTCCTGAGTCGCAAGTTCAGTTGGCCGGC